CGTGGCCGAGGCACTGAGGTCGGCTCTGCGTCCGAGCAGCGCCGCCCGCAGGCACCGTGAGCGCGCGGGACCGACCGGAAAGCGCCCGGGCAACCACACTGCGAAGGTAAAGGACCCTGGTAAAATGAATCGTAATCACATGTTTAACTCACACATCCTAATGAGTTAAATAAATACATTTGTCATATCCGCACCCAAGGATATTTTTCCATTGGTTTTTAGAGAGTGGAAGGGGGGGGGAGAGAAACTTGGATGTGAGGGACACAAAGATGGGTTGCCTCCTGCAGGAGCCCCAACCAGGGCCGGGGACTGAACCTGCAACCCTGCGACCCAGGCACCTGCCCTTGATCAGGAATCGAACCTGTGACCTTTCTGTGCACAGACGGAGGCTCTAACCGCACCCGCGGGCAACTCAGTGTGTTCAAAACAGCGTTTCAGCATGTGGCACTAGCCACTTTCCAGGTACTCAGTGGCCACAAGGGGCTTTGGCCAGGGCAGGTGTAAAGCTTCCATGAATTAAATCTGCGTGATTTAACAAAATCTGGCAAAACTCGGCTGCTAAGGGTGAACTTGAGCGGCCCTCGGCGAACATGGGTATGTTGTCTATCTGCATGCTGGTCCAGTAGGTCTGCTCCCTCGGCTGGAAATTCACTGAGCTGATGGTTAAGAGGGGTGGATATATAAACACACGTATTTATAACCCTGGTGTCACTCAGGTTATGAGTGATGCTCCTGAAAGCCCAGATAACCCGCCGTCCCCCAGGCCCCCTTACCAGATGGAGAGCATGGGCCCATGGCGGGGTTAGAGAGCCTTCACCTTTTACGGGCCCTCCTGCCTGGTAAAAAGATGTGAATGTTGTCAGCTGACTTAGAAAGCGTGTTGGTCATCAGGTTTCTCCTGTAGGCTGGGCTCATGCAATTGATGGAGTCTTTATGGTTAGTCACTTTAAGAATCAAACTTGTGAATCAAGACATATAAATGTGATTTTAATTTTGGTTTTGTTGGTTTTGTAATAAAAATGAATGTGGTTTTATATGATGCCTAAAATGGAAATTTCCCAGTACTGACAACTTTAGCAATGAGCACCAGCACCCTGTAGGCACCAGGGTTCCTTAGAGGGGGCTGAGCCAGGTCTGGGACAGGAAGTGATAAGATGAGCCTGGAACATCCTGCTCTGCCAAGAAATTTTTAAAAACGTATGTAATGAGGTCAAAAAGACAAGAGGGCCCATCTGAAGTGTATTCCATTTAAGTGTCCAAAATCAGTAATGGCTTGAAGCACATCAAAGATAAAGACTTTCATAAGTTCATAAATATCCTAAGGAAAAAACTTGACTAGAGTACCAACTATTTATTCTAAAAATTAATACAAGAAAAGAAACATTTATCTTGTCTCTTTCTGTATAAACATTATTTTAGGGTATATAGGTAGTTGATTGGAGAAATTTCTTCTTTATAGAACAAATACAAGGTAATAAAAGTAGAAGGAATGATAGAATTATAAAAAAATTTTTAACAGTAGAACAATGAATCTAGGCAACAATCATCAACAGATGCTAAAGCCATTAGGTGGAAGGCTGATGGGGACGATATAGCGGGTGGATCGTGCTGCTAATACAGAACCCACAGGTTGAACTTAATGACTGTCACTAAGAGGGGACAACCAGACATTAGGGTGTATGCAAAGCAAATACACAGCACCACCTCCAGAGCATCCTGGTAAAAAAAAAATCAAGCTGAATCTAAGCAAGCCTCTGGATCTACATTTTAGTTTAACAGGAAGTACAGGAGGTAGAGGAACAAGTTAGATAACACCAAATCAAAATGTGGGGCATTTTACAGGGCCGTTGATCTAATTTCTCCAAAAGGAAGAGACAGGAAAACTGAGGGAGGGGTGTGGACAGAAAAGACTCAAGACTTAAGTGGTGTAACAACTAAAAATAATATGTGCACTTTGTTTGGATCCTGATTTAAACAAACCAACAGTTCCAAAATTACTTTTGAGTACTGGCTGGTGTGGCTCAGTTGGTTGAGTGTCGTCCCGGGTACCAAAATGTTGCTGGTTTGAATCCCTGTCAGGGCACAAGCCCGGGTTGGGGGGGTTTGATCCTGGGTCCAGGTGCGTGCATGAGGTAGCTGATCAGTGTTTCTCTCTCACAGTGATGTTTCTCTCTCTTTCTCCTTTCCTCTCTCTCTCTCTCTCAAATCAATAAAAATATATTTAAAAAATATTTTTGAGACAGCATAGGGAACTTAGGATGTAGACCAGGTATTAAATAATTACAGGGAATAATTATTCACCTTTTTAGTTGAAAAAAATGACAAGATAGTCATTTTTAATGTAAAAAGAAAAATTGTATTGGATATGGATGCATACTGAAGTGTTTAGGATAAAAGTATATGATAACTTAGATTTTTCGATAAACATTCCAATAAAAAAAAGGAAACAGAAAAAAAAGGAAAAGAACTGATGAAACATGATTGGAAAATTTCAGCAAATAGAGACTTACGTGGATTCCTCATACTATTGTTTCTCCTCTTATGTGTGTTCAGAGCTTTCCATAACCAAAGTGACTGTGGAGTTATTAAGAGATACTGTTTCTTACAAACAACAGAACCCAAAATACGAGTTCAAGCCACAAATAGTGTGCACTATATGCCAGAGACTGTGGGAGGGGTTGGGAGATTGTTTGTTTGTTCTGAGGTGGGTTACAAGTATATTAAGGCAAACTTTCTTATGATGGAGCCCAATAGGCAAAGAAGACCAATAAAAAGTATGTTGACTGTTAAGGCAAGGGA